TGGGTGCATGGATACATTGGCTGGGGTCTATCTGGGTTCACTAAATTAAGTGAGAAAAATGAGTTCCCCGCCTGCATGACTGAAGAGGCTGACTGACTGAGGGAGGCTGGCTACAGTAATTAGGCCGAAAGTTGCTGCAAGGTTTACTTACTGGCTTGCTCATGGAGTCTGGACTGTTATCAGGGATGGTGGGGTGAAGGGCTAAAAGATGAGGTGCTAATTAAAGTCAACTAAAAGAGTGACCCTTCAGCCTACCATCCCAGATACTTAAAAAAGCGGATTCACTCAGACACTCCTGTTTTCTGCAGCCTCGCTGCTTGTGGTTGATGTAAAAAAGGGATGGGGCCCAAAAGCTGGAAAGAACAATAGCTACCTGGCTGGCTTATGTTAGTATGGGTAATTAGTGTCCTAAGATATTTATATTCAGGATTCCAGCAGGCCCCTTAAGCTACGCTATGCTGGCTCACTGGAGCTTCTGCCTGGCATGTTGGGGTGGGGTTTAGGGGCAGGGTTGAGGGTTTTGAGGCTTAGTAAAAAGGGAACTTAACTAATTATTCCAATTCTCTAAACCGGAAACCCTATAGTAACTAATGAAATACACTACTTGAATCCCCAACCTCAAGCCCTAAGCCCTAAACCCTTGAGTTCAGGCAGCCTGTCTGCCCTCGAGGTAGTCGACTGTCTCGAAGTGGTCTCCTGGGGCAGAGGGCGATTTACCTAGCTTGCACAAGGATTAGGTAGCAGGAGAGGCTAGTTACCAGCAGGTGCAGTTCTTTGTTTCTCTCTGCTTGCAGCAGTGCTGTCTGTTTGTCTGTCTGTGCTGTGGCTCTGTCTGGCTGGCTGTCTTACATGTCGTCCCACCAGCCCCGTGGCTGGCTTCCTGGCTGGCATTTGCAGGCTGCCCTGCCACAGGCAAGGCATGCCACGACGCAGAAGTACTGCCTCTGTCTGTCTGACCATCTGGCTACCCCTGTCTGAAAAGTGCCAGGGGGCACATGGACGAGGCCTTCTGCAGGGACCTGCAAGGGCTGTCTGACTGGCTGCAGGGGCTGCCTTGGGCGCAGCTGGCGCTGAGCTGTCTGTCTGACCGTCTGTGAACCGCACAGACATGCGGCCGCGCCTGCTCTGGCTTCTGTCTCTGGCTGAAGGTGGTGCAGGTGTAGTCGCTCTGTCTGTCTGGCTTGCTCTGGCCCACGCAGGTCTGGCTGCCTGACTGTTCTCTGGCGGTGTGCTGAGGTGGTGAATCAGGCGCAAGCGCTGCACCTGATTCAAGCCTCTGACTGCCTGGGCTACGTCTGCGTCTGTCTGTCTCAACACGAACTCGAGCGCTTCGCGAGTGGACATGGCTGACTAACTACCTACTCTGGCTACCTTCCTAAACACTTCCGCTAGCTTCCCTATCTGGCTACAGGTGATGGCTTTGGGGTTCTTAGGCTAACCACCTGACTAATTAATTAATTACTTTGAAAGGTTTTCAGGTTAGACTTCAAGGGGTCTCGGAAAAAGTGTCTGTCTAGCTCCTACAGTTTTTAGGGTTTGGGGTTAAGGTCTCAGGTGGCTGACTTAAAGGGCTCCCTTAAAGGGAGAAAAGGAGCTAATTAATTATTCTAAGACCTGGCTAGCTGTACACTAGAGCCTGTCTGGGCCTGTAGGCCCGCAAGAAAGGCTGACTGCCTGACTACTTGTCTGTGTCTGACTGTGTGTTTTTGTTTGAGCCACTTTGGTCTGCAACAGGACGTGCTTTCACTAGGCTGTCTAAGAAAGTCGCTGCAGCCCCAAGCCCGAGCCCTGGCTCCTCTGCTGTCTGGCTCGACGGCGTCCAGGTTTGATCTGGCTGGCTGGGGTCTAGGGTTTAGGGTTAAGGGTTGAGGGAGCCTGTGCCTGGCTGGGCACCGGCTGGCTGCCTCAGGGTAAAGGGTTTAGGGTTGGAGGGTTTAGGATTTAGGTTTAAGGGTCTTGGGGTCCTTAACTCTACACCCTAAACTCTAAACCCTAAACCCTAACCCCAAAAGCGAGCTCCGCCTCTTCCCGCGAACTGACTTCGGCTTCTTCTGCCTGGCTGGCTGGTTTTTGGGTTAAGGCTTTAGGGTTCAAGGTTCCTGGGCCTGACTCTGCTGGCTGTCTTGGCAGGCTTTGGGACCTGGCTGCGAGGGAGAGGGTTTAGGTTTGGGGTTTAGGGTTTAGGGTTACGGGTTTAGGGTTAGTCTGTCTTCTTCTTCTGTCGATCCCATGTGACTGCTGGCTGCCATGCTGAACCTCTCATTGCCTCCCGAGTTCGAGCATCCTGCAGTAATTTCCCTGGTGAAAAGCAAAATACGCCAGGACCTCTCATTGCCTCCCCACTTGGAGCAAAAAAGCAAAGACCAAATACGCCAGGACCTCTCACTGCCTCCCCATTTCGACCATCCTCCTGCAGTAATTTCCGTGCGAAAAAGCAAAGACCAAATACGGCAGGACCTCTCATTGCCTCCCCATTTCGACCATCCTGCAGTAATTCGAACATCCTCAATTAATTATTTAATCACTGCTTCTGTCTCTCTGTTCAGTGAGTTCAAACATGCCACACGCCTCAGACTTCGACTTCGGCTTCCCCGAACCTTTCGGCCTGCCTCGCTTCTTGGGTTCTGCCTTGCCCTCTGGCTGCACTGCCTGAGGAGGCTGGGCTGCCTTTGCTTCGGCCTTGTGCTTCTCTTTTTTTTCTTTGTTGAGTGCCCACCGTAGCATCTTGGCCGGGTTGCAGTCCAGACAGCCTGTCTTGCTGCCATTGCAGCGAGTGGACCCGTAAGTCGGAGTGGGTGGCTTGCCATGCCCGGCAGGTGGGTCTGGCGGTGGCTGGCTAGGCGGGGGCAGAGGGGGCTCTGGGCACTTTCTTTGGCTGCCTTGAGTGCCTTCGCCCGCAAGACGAACTGAATGAACCTATTCAGTCTGTGCGCCTTGCTTGGCAGGTCTCGGTCCAAGCCCTGCGGGGCCTCTCCCTGCCACAGGCGCCACTCCTGTTCGAGGAACGCCAAGGCCCAGAACCCGCAGCTAAAACCATCTGACTGTCTGAAACTTGCATTTGCCGGCGCCGGCAGGGCCTGTCTCTCTACCTGTGCTGCCTGCAAGAGCAACGTGTCCCAGTACCTGACTGTCAGGGCTGCCTCTCTGCAGGTTCTCTGCACCACCAGCAGAGCGAAATGGCGGGTGCCTCAGCATGCAGCAGAGCGCATACACAGACCGCCTTCTTGCTGTCTGCTAGCTGCTTGACTGTCTCGGGCAACTCCTTTGTCTGGAGAGCTGCCTTCACCTGCGCTGGCTGGAGGATGATGAGGCTGTCTGCTGGCCGCCAGCAGAGAGTCTGTAGCTCACCTCTCTCAGTCCTGCTGTGAGCTGGCTGTCTGCCAAGAGCTGGCCGACCTTGTACATGCTCAAGTCTGAGAGATGGCTGCCTTCCTCCTGGGCTGTCTTATCATCCAGACCTGTGTAGTCCAAGCTGTCTGGAAACAGCTTCTCCCGCACATCTGTCGTGAGATGAGCCTCCGAGACCCACTCTGACTTGCCAGCGCCTGCCTCCACCAGCACCATGCCATCTTTCTGGCGGCCACACTTCACCACCGCTGCACTGAGCTGAGCCGGGCAGTCTGCCCCCACCACTCTGGCCGCCTTCCCAGTCAAGGAACCATCCTGCATGGCCCTCTCTTCCTGCCTTCCTGCAGCTGCAGCTGTGTGCTTGGCGAAAGCTTTTCTGGCTTGCTTTCTTGGCAAAGCTGGGCTTGTCCTTGGCTGTTGGCTTCAACTTGAGGCTGGGCTTCTTCTTCCGGCTCCCTTGCTGGACTGTGGAACAACATCCGCCAGCATGGCCTCGACAGACTGCTCTTTCTGATGCTTCCTGGCTGCTGACCGTCTTCGTTTGGTCACCACCTGGCTAGTCGTCTCAGCAACCGCTGCCTGCCTCAGCTTTCTCCTCTGACTGGGATGCAAGTTGGCCAGCGCCATGTCTTTCAGCTCTTTCTCACTCTGCGCCAGCACAGAAGTGCTCGGGGTCAAGTCCAAGTACAAGCCAGTCTGACTGCGTGTGAGCTGGCTTACAAGATAGCTGGCTTCAGTGGCAAGAGCATTCCCCCTTCCTGAACTTTCTAGCTCCTCTGCCTCAAATGGCTTCACTTGGCCACCCTCCACCCAGGAGCTTCTGCCTGCAAGATGGCTGCTGCTCAGCTTTGCATTGCCTTCGTCCAGGCTGCTCACTGACTGGTTGCAGCTTCCCCTCTCGGTCTGGCCGCCAGTGGAACCAGCCACCCTGCCGCATGGCCCTGAGAACAGTCTTCTCTTTCTCGTTCTGGCTAACCATCTGGTCATGCATGGCCCTGACTGCCTGCAGGATGTCCTTCATAAATGTCCTATATGTGCAGCGCACCCCCTGCTGCCTGGCTTTCTCCCTCATCTTGCTCTGAGGTCCTCGTGAAAGCGACCCAAGGCTGCCTTTGCCTGGCTGGCAAAGGCCTGTGCAGCCTGCTGCGACGCCTGTCTGTGCTCGCTGCAAAAGGCTGGCTGCCTGCAGTGACTCCTCTGTCCACCCACCGGTGAACATGTCTACCAAGTTGACTGCCTGCTGACTCTCTGTCTTCTCCCGTTCTAGCTGCCACTTGTAGAGGAAGCCAAAGCCAAAGCAGGATCCAGGGTGGCCTCAGCCAGGCGAAAGCATGGAGTGGCTGCCAGGTGGAGAGTGAGTCTCGTGGCTAGGCAGGCAGTCACTACAAAGGCCACAAGGCCATGTGAGGCCCAGCATTCTGGTTGTCTATGGGCAGCACTGCCGGCTAGAGAACATCAGCCAGACAGGGCACTGGGTGCAGTCAGAGAAGTTTAGCTACGCAGGCAAGACAGTCATCAGGGAGGCAGGCGACAAGGTGCCAGGCAGCATCATGCGCACCTGGCGCAAGCTGAGGCAGCAGCATCCTCAGTTGTTTGCAGACAGTCAGATACTTCTTTGGAGCCAGCCAGCAGTTGCTGCCTGTCTGCGCTGCCTGTTGTCCCTGCGAATTTTTCTCTGCTCACTGGCTGCCTTGAGCCTCAACACACTGGTCAAGGCTCGCCCAGGGCTGGGCTTGAGCCAGACTGGCACCTGGTCTGACATGGTTATGGCTGTCTGGCTTCTGTGCACTGCCCACTCATATGGGTCTGCTACGGGCAAGGCCTCACAGACTTCGGGGCTAGCTGCCTGACTGACGAGCTGGTCGAAAAGTCGCCAGGCTGTCTCAAGGTCTCCTCCTCGTGGCTGAGATTGGCTGTCTGTTGGCAAGTTCTGGCTCTCAGGCCACAAAGAGTGACCAGCCTGGCTGTGTATTTCTCTCTCTGCTTGGCATTGTCTGTCAGACTGGCTTGCTTCTGCGCCATGGCTGCCAGCTCTGCCTTCCCCTCCTCTGTCAAACTGCCTGCCTCCTCGTCTTTCTTCCTGACTGCTATGGCTACCTCCAGCCTGTCTAGAAAGTCTGCCAGCACATCCTTGAGAGACAGGATGTGGAGGTTGGCTTCCTCTAGCTGGCTCCAGAGCAGAGTCTCCTGCCACACTGACCTCAGCCTGTCTTTTCTGCCTAGCTCAACCCCATCCCGCATGAGCCTCTTTCCCTGACTCTTGCTGACAAAGTGGCAGAACCCGAGGTGGCTGCCTTTCTGCCTCAAGCTTGTCTTGCCCACACTCCTGCTGGACACAAAGTCCTCCGCTCGCTGTCTGTAGCTTGACTTGAAAAGGTTTCTGGCAAAGCTAAGGCTGACTTTGTGCCTCTTCTGCATCTCAGTGGCTGCCTTCCTCTTGCTGCCTTTGGACACTGCAAGAGCATCGAGCTCCTCCATGAGAGCAAGCTTGTTTCTGGCAGTGACATCTGCTCGCTTCTCCCTGAGTCCTGGCTGACTGACTACCTTGTTCTTGGAACCAGCAGGCCGGCCCTTGTGCTTGGGAAGAGGCAGCGCAACCCCGCCCATGCCCAGCTTAGTCACAGCCTCTTTGGCTCTCTCCT